ATATTGCTGGGGTATGTGATTGGCAGTGTTCCAGATGACACTGAGGTTATGTTGAATGCTGTACCACTTTTCTGTGCTTTTTGTGCTTTGCCTGATAGCATCAGGACAGAATGTCATTATATCCAGTACTTTTATAGTTCCACCTGTTGGGTTTTTTTCCTTGTTTTTGTATTAGTACTAATGTAGGAGTATCTCATGTTTGTGGCAGGTGCTGGAAGTGTAATAGAAGCACTGCTTTTTTTTTTTTTTAACCTTTGTATGAGATAATCTTTTTTGCTGCTTCATTTTGTTCAGTAATGATTTGTAATTGTGAATTACTCTGTTTGTGGCAAAAATATTTGTAAGATATTAGATGAGGTTTTAGAGGTACACCAGGATAAAATTATAGAGAGGTAAGTTGAACAGAGATGGCTTATGTCTTGACTTTTGTTGGAGTAATCTTAGTAACTTTTTGTTTAATGCTGCAGTATCAACAAAGAAACATTAACATTAAAGGTAAGATACTATAGTAGATTTGCATGTTATCTTTTTTTGGTGTATTTTTGGTTTTGGTGGGGTTTTTTTGAACAGCGAAGTAATAAGCAAAAAGGTGAACTTAAAATTTTATCTGTGAATTAGTTGATGAGGTGTATATGAAACTAATCTTCTTGAGATGTGTAATAACCGGTCATCTGCAATAGCTGTGTACCTTTATGTACAGTAAGTATTAGACTACTCTGAGTATGTGTTCAAGTAAGTGTTAATGCTCTCCTTTTTGTAGGTGTAGCTTCATGGCAGTTTTCAGCTAGTTGGGATCTTGCAGGATTTTTTCCAATGGCGTGGTTTTGCCCAACAGCACGTAACAGCTAAATTGAAGTCATTGCAGTCCATTATAGTAATGACTACTTAGGGACTCTTAAACTCAGGGGTTATTCACATGTTCTATGCATGCATGAGATAATCCTGTATTGAAAATCCTTGAGGGAAGAACGGAGAAGGAAGATGCATGGGCAGCCCAGGATGCAACATCAGCTGCCTGTTTCAGTGTAACCATTTATTGTCTTGAGTAGATCATGGTTCCATTTTGCCCTCCAATAAAAGGAAAAGTATCATCTTCTGCCCAGTTAGCTCAGGGTATTAAGTTTTCTGTTGCTTCCAAATTAGGTTGTATTTGTAAGAGTATTGGAAGCTGGGGTGGGGGGAGCCATAGTGGAAGAATGAAAACTCAACATCATTTGGCATGTCAACTCTATCTGTGTCTGCCAGAAGAGAGGCAGCGGAGTCAAGTTTTTGGTTTTGCTTGTTCTTTCAAATTAGAGTATCCTTCTGGAATAGCTGTAGGTGGTCAGTTTGGCTTTGAAGGAGGGAGTCTGCTGCGGTTTGTGATTGATTTCTTGTGTGTGTTTTTCCTCCCCACTCTTAAGTGCACATTGAAGGAAAGAACTTGCAGCATGAGATAGCTGAAGGTACACCCAGAGCCCCCCTCAGAACACAACCTGAGCCTTTCTCCTTGCTGATTGGCATGGTCTCTGCTGCCCACATCTCAAACCCTTTCTTGAGCACAAATAGCTTAATTAGGATAGACTGAGGTAAACATTACTTTTGTGATAAACACCAGTACCGAAGAGGAAGAATTAGTCCTATTATGACCTGAGGAGGGGCCTTGAATTGGGTTGTGTAAGGTGGAAGGCTTAACTCTTTATGGGAGAAAGCCCCCTTCAAAGGATTTCACATGGCCTGCAATTCTCTGTAGAATGTACTACTACGTGTTTTGAACCTTATCAACAAACCTCTATGTTTAAGAAAACTAATATTTTGGATTTTCATTTTGCATTTTTTTGCCACTAATTTTATCATGCTCTGCTAACCATTTATTAAAATTTAGTCATATCTGTTCTCTTCTCTGACTTGCGTCCCCTATTATGGACCTTTGTTCAGAAACACCTCAGCTTTGGTGTTCTTACTGATACTGTTACTAGGAATTTCTTAACACTAGTGCTGTTTTGTTTGTTTCTTTTGTGAATAAGCAATGAAGTAAGTTGTTAGACTTATGTGGAGAGTATTTTATATGTCTCTAGTCAATCTATGAAGTTTGCTTCTTAAAACCAAGTACCATGACATTTTTAATCTTTGACTTCAATGGTGATTTCAGTCTTTTTCAATGTTGTGTATGGGGTCATGGTCTAAATATACATTTTTAACTGCAAACTCTGTTAGAGTTTAAATGTCTTTTTGTCAACAGAAGGGAGAATAAAATATACCTTTCTAAATATGTTCTAAGTTTACTTAGGTGTAAATTGTCTGTCTTTTTGTATATTGCCAGTACAGATTACGAATACCTTTGCTATATTGGTAATAGAATCTGGTAACCACTGAAAGAGTCCATTTGTGCAGCGCTGGTACAACACCTTATTGCTATGTCAAGCCTTAGTTTAATGAACTGAGTGTTAGTAAAACAGAAGTCCAAATGTGGATTCATGCTGTAGAATGGATCCTTATTCCTTTCCTCATAACTTTTGGAGTAAATGAGCCATTGACAATATTTTTAAATATGTAGTGCCTAGAATATAATTAAGATACTGATGTTAAATCACTTTTCTACAACTCAGCAAAACTGCTGATCAGAAAATTGAGACAAATGTTTTGCTAATCTGCAGAAGCTGACATAGCTTGCATTTAAGAAGTGCAGTCCGATTGTACTAGTGTGGCAGCTCTACTCAAAGGATTTTCAGGATCCATGTTGGGAAAATGATGATTTGTGCTAGCAGTTAAAGGGGGCTTATAAGAACAATGGGGACAAACTTTTTAGCAGGGCCTGTTGCAATAGGACGAGGGGTAATGATTTTAAACTAAAAGAGGGTAGATGTAGACAAGGTATATGGAAGAAATTCTTTACACTGAGGGTGGTGAAACACTGGAGCAGGTTGCCCAGAGAGGTGGTAGGTACCTCATCCCTGGAAACATTCAAGGTCAGGTTGGACAGGGCTCTGAGCAACCTGATCTAGTTGAAGATGTTTCTGCTCATTGCGGAGGGGGTTGGACTAGATGACCTCTAAAGGTCCCTTCCAACCCAAACTATTCTATGATTCTATGGATTAGGAGAGCTGACTTCATTTTTGTGTGAAGCAATGTAGAGGCACAAACTACTGTGATATTTGTTGCAGAAAAACTGTTTGTCAGGCTAATAAAGTATAATTAAATATGCAGTAATGAACCGTATCTGAATGATGCTGAAGTTAACACTGCTGGACCTAGGTTTTCTGTTGAGTGACACTGTTCTTGCACTTTATCACTACAGTTTTTCTGTTAATAGCCATAATGAGGAGCATAACAATTGTGAAAGGGTTATTTTCTTTTCCAGAAAAAGGGTATTGCAAAATTTGCCTAGTGTTGTGTTACCATTATATTTTTTTGACACGAGTTCAGTGGAGATTTGGGATGCTGTGACTTGTCTTGGTGAAACTGCACTACATGGTAAAGGCTATAATGGAAGGTTGGCACTGGGACTTTCTCCAGGTTGGTAGACCCAGCATGAACCTCTTCCACATACCTTACTTCTATAGGGTCTCCCCTCTGCCAGCACCTCTCTCCCTTATTCCAGGACTTGAGCAAGAGGATGAGTCTTCACTGGAGAGGGTGGAGGACAGTGTTCAGGTTCTGCTGATTCCCTGCCCCAGGCAGTGGGAAGCAACTGAGTGTTAGGGAAATACAGAAGGGCAGAAGAACAGTGTGTCAAAGTGGCTGCACGGAAAAGTACAGGGAAAGGCACAAAGTTGCCGCTGAAGAGATCACAAATTCGGTGTTGTAGAAACTTCAGTATCACCAATACCTAGTAGTCCTGATAGTTGTGAAGGCTTAACCGTGGCATATTTGTCACCAGTATTGTAAAGTGAAAAACAGTATTCTGGTGGGCAATTGAAAGAAGGTGCTTTGGGTTGTATTACTTTCCAGTGATAGAGGGATTAATTTTTTTACTTAATCCTTAGTACTGAAAAAAAATTAAGTGGAAAAAGTATTATCACATTCTTTCCAAGGTATGCTGCACTCAGATTGAGCCCCTGGAGCACACTCAGGGATAATCCAGGGTTTCCGACCCCTGGTTAGATACACTGTGTAGAAATGCTGGACTTGTTCAACTCAACCAGGGTTGTGATGCAGTGTTGGTAGGAATTTAGGGATACTGCAAATGGGTTAGAAAGTACATTTGCAGATAAAAGATGATGGACACCAAAAAAACAAGTGAAGAAAAGGATGAATGCAGAGAGACAAAAACGCGAAATGGACCTATAATGATTTCTCAGACACTGGTGTTTGCATTTTCAGTTGTATGTCTGCCTATATTCTATTTGTATATGCATGGAATGCACTGACAATTTCTAAAGTATGTTTGAGATTTCCAAATAAAAATAGTGCTTGGGAATGACTTCAGACACTTTGAACGGTTAAAGTTGCCAATTGTTCTACTAGAAATTTATGGAGGAAGGAATAATTTTCAGGTTTCAGTTGTGGGGTTTTGTTTGTTTGGTTTGGGATTTTTTTTTTTTTCTTCTGTTTCCATACCTGGGCTATTTGTGGAAAACGTATACAAAGCATACATGTAAAACTACAAGGAACTGTTAACCAGTGGGTGGTAAGACACAGTGCTTTTGGATGTCCATCTATTGAGTCTGGCAGATGAAAGGATGGGAGATGAGTGGAATCCAGAAGACACAAAGATCTAGAAACAAATGTAAACAGAAAGATTATTGGAACAAGGAAAAGATGTCATGTATACTTCTTTGAGCCCAGCCTGCATGTATAAAATATATTAAAGCTGTATATCTGTAGTCCAACTCATTTTTTAGCTTTGAAAGTCTCTGATACAGTCTCTGATATCAGCCAAAACAGATGTGTACAGGTTTTCATATTTTTTCTTCAAACACTTTTGTGGCATTGAGAGAGTAACTTGCGAGAAATCTTTGTGAAGCCTAAAGTTAAAATCACTTGTTCTTTCTTCCCTCTCTCCTTCTCTTTTTCTCTAGGATCCCGTCTTCGCCAGGAGGACTTTCCACCACGGATTGTTGAGCATCCTTCAGATGTGATAGTCTCTAAAGGAGAGCCAACAACTCTGAACTGTAAAGCTGAAGGACGGCCAACTCCTACTATTGAGTGGTACAAGGATGGAGAGCGAGTGGAAACGGACAAGGATGATCCACGCTCCCACCGCATGCTGCTGCCCAGTGGATCTTTATTTTTCTTACGTATTGTACATGGACGCAGGAGTAAACCTGATGAAGGAAGTTATGTTTGCGTAGCAAGGAACTATCTTGGAGAAGCTGTGAGTCGCAATGCATCTCTGGAAGTGGCATGTGAGTAGTTTTATATGATTAGCACTGTGCAAAACTTTATAGTTGCTTTTATGCTGTCATCCAGCACTTGCACAATCAGCAGTCTGGGAGATAACAAATGTAGATAAGTTTGGCATTTTGTCATTAGCTATAGCTCTTAGTCAAGGCATTTCTACATGTGTTTGTACAGTAGCAGTGACCATACAGAATAGGTGACTTATACTGAAACAAGGTTTTAGCCAGTGTGTAATCATGATTGGCACAAATATGGACACAGGCTAATCTTCCTCTAAAGAATAATTTAATTTTTAAATTACGACTAAAGTTGGTTATACTGAAACTAATGTCGAAAAATACTTATCATTTAATATAAGGTGCACTGTCGGTTTCTCTTTATCTAGTCATCAGTTACTTCAACAGAAGCAGACAGCATCTTGGTGACTCATGTTCTGTACTGCTGGAAATCTCAATATATGCTCCTCTGTCATAAACTTGTTACAGGCCTCATTCATTATATGAATGGCAAGTGAGATTGTTGGCCATTTCTCATATCATCCAGAGCAGTCTTATTTTTTTATTGATTCTCTTGGCCTTAACAGAGAAGTCATCATGGGTCTTTCAGAGACCACCCAGCATGCATGATCTACTTCAAGTAGAGTTACCAGAGATATTCATTATAATCACATAGCAAGCAAACTCATTGTACATAAAATACAGTGCACTATAGATTATTTTTTGCTGCTTAGTTATTCAGAGTATTAACTAAGGGTAGCTGTGTATCTTTACATAAAGGTGTATTTTAATGGAATTATGAATGTTGTTCTCTTATTGGACTTCAGTTTTTTCCCACACAGTTCTTCATACAGCAGTAGTTTCACTAAAACAAGTTTGACTGAAGTAGGGCTTTAACACAAACTTGTATTGCTTAGTTGATAAAGAATGGATTTAAGTACGCATTGGAAGGTATGTTGGTTTAAAGGCAGGGGAGGGGGAAGCACAGAAGAGAAATCTGTGTTCCTGATGCACTCTGCAGACTTCTTCAGCTAATGCTATGTGATCTTGAGGCTTCAGTCTTCTCAGAAATTGGGAAAAAAATGCCATTTTTTAAATACTTATGTGGTGGTATAGGCCAAGTAGAACAGACTTGTTCACTACCTTTTACTTGTCATAACCTAGATTCAGGACTGTTTCAAACAAAAAGTGAAAACAATTATGGCACACATTCAAGGCACAAGCAAATGTGTGTCTGCCAAAGACGGTATCACAGAATGTTACTCAGTTTTGGTAGGTATTTAGAAATTGAGAAGACAACCAATTTAAGGAAGGCTGAAATCTGGGTGAGTATGTCTCTAGACAAATTTACCGGATTATTTCTGTCTTTGTACATGTGGTGTTTAAACTGTTGAGAAATCCTGAGAGGTATAAACACTTTGAAATCTTTATTGCAATCCTCTTGAGATTCAGACATCTCTTGCTTAAGTTCAAAAGATCATTCAGGTTATACCTGGAGACATCAAATTTAAGTGACTGATTATTTTGAAATTTAAAGGTGCTCTGTATTTCGTTAGTTTTCACTGATCTCTACTTCAGTGACTGCTGAGAGACTCTTGTTACAATATCGTCTCTCTGGAGAAATGTTTTAACCACTGTAGCTGGTGTCAGGTCATGCATGAACTGTATGTGAGATAGGAGAAGACTTGAAAAATAATGAAAGCGTATTTCATTGTCAGAGGTATTTTAGAACAGGATCATAGAAAGTGAAAACTGAGATCTGAAACCATAGCCAAAGTTTTTGGAATAGTAACATGCACCTGATACCAGATTATTTTCCTGTTTTCACAGCTTTGAAATTCAACTGACTGAATACCCCAATTAAATGGTAAAGCAGGCACTGCTGTTCCACTTCAACAGTGCTTTGTCTTTCCTTGAGCCATACCGTAACTGTGATTACAGGAAGGTCTTCATCAAAGAAAAAAAAAGTAAATAACATGTACATTGCTTGTTTTAAAAGCACATGGCAGTGCTTAACATGTGTATCAAAGGCATCCTCTGGAGGAAGATAGCAAAACTACCCAGTTTCCCTTAGTTTTGAGGCACTTTAGTATCACTTAGTTCTAAATCAAGCTTTCAAGTGACTTTCGGAGAACGGTTATTTTAAGGCTCTTTTTTTTATTTTAACTGTTTTTCTAATGTCAGCATTTCTGGACTGAAGAAGATGGGCAGGTCTGTAGAAGTCCATTTGCCTGCTAGGGAAATGAGTTGTTGCTGACAGCCTGTTGTCAGCAGCGAGTCCTCATTCACCTGTTTTCAACTGCTGCTGGAAACTGTTGAGTTGCCTGGATACTGCAGCCCTGTCCACAGGAGCTGGGACAGCCGCATGCGATCAGGTCTTACTTGTGCTGTCTGTAATGGTGTTGAAAACTGCTCTTTCTACGCTAAGCCAAGCTGTTTTCATCTCCAGAAAAAGGACGGTTGTCCTTTCTGGCAACAGGGTTTTGGATTATTATTGGACTGTAGGTGGCCTCGAATTGTGCCACTAGCGACCAAGTGCTGGTTTTTACAGGTTTAAAATGCTTGAGTCTACTGTTTAAATGAAAGAATCAGTAATTGTTCTACTTTGCTTAATAAATTGTTAGTCACCAATAATGTTCAGCTGCAACTGTTGAATGGTTTATGAAGAAATATTTATTGGATTTTTCTGTTGTGTGTTCATGCTTATGCATTCAGATGATAAACAGTGTTAATTGTGGTTCATTCTCTTCTATTTTCTCGCTCCCACCCCCCTCATGGGCACCTGCCACAAAAGCACTGGGATTAAAAATCTTCTGACGTATCCATATTTATACGTAACGACAGAAGAAAAATTCTTAAGTGCAATTAAGTTGGGGCATACAGTGATTCAGAGCATAGTGTGGCCTGTCTTGAATGCAATCATTTTGCCCCTTGTTTTTTTGGAGTGATTTTTTGCAAGTTGCTGAAGCCCTAAGGTCTTTTTGATTGATTAGCAGTTAACACCTTTCCCGTACAAGATGAATTTAGGTATCAGTCCATCCAAAGCATTTAAGTATGCTTTTAAATCCATGCCTATTCAGAGCACGTGCATGTGATCAAGGGCAGATATTGTATGTCCTCAGAAAAACTTCTCTGTGCCAGTGAAATGGTGAAAAACTGTGGTTTGGGAAATTACTTAAAAAACATAATTAACATACAAAATGTGCTTTTAAGATTTTTTTTTTGTTGCCTTTAATTTAGAAAGTCTTCATTCCAGAAGACATTTAGGAAGAAATAGGAGTTTGTATTTGAAGGCACAGATTAGGATTGATATGATTTATTCTATTTTATTCTTCTTTTAATGCATTAATCCATGGTGTGCTGTGTGCGGGTTACTCTTTTCAGTAGGAGCTTCCTCAGAAGGAAAAAGAAATGCTAATGCTAGCAGCAAAACAATTCTTCTGCTGTGTATGTGGTAAATTCTGATGTAGTATTTATGTTTTATGGTTAAGTCGTTAAAAATAAATGTCCTGGTCCTAAAACAACTACAAAGAGTTGTATTCAAAAGACTAAAAAGTCTTTATTTTGATTTTGTGTATTAGATTTTTTTAATTGAAATTGAACAAGGGTTGACATTATTAGAAATATGTTGATGCTCAGATTTTTTGGGAAGGATTTTAGAAAGGGAAGTAGGCTTGAAATAGTTTGATCTTTTATGAAACTGCTTTTGTATTTGAAAGTTGGAGGTTTTAAAATAAAAGCACAGTTTTTCACAGTGTACAAATTGACACGATTGAACCTGTGTGGCGGAGTATTCCAGTGGGAATATCGGGAGACACATTTGCAATAGTGGCTGTAGCTAGGATTTCAGTTGCAAGCACTGGGGCGCCACATGTAAGCAAGAGAAAGAGCGTGAGGGTCCCCACACTGACTCAGGCTGCCTCTGATCTAGCCTGAGTCAGCGGCAGCCCCCAGAGATAGCAGCTGTAGCCCCAGGTGTTAAATATGTGACAGCAGCTTGATCTATCGACCACTGTAAGAGGGGGCTTTGGCCTAAATGAAAATTCATGAAAAATTGATGAAGTCCCCAGATTATTTTTTTCCCTTTTCCTTTTCCAGTTCTGTGCCAATGCAGCGAGGAGAGATTAAATGAGGTGTTGAACGCTTTAGTGGCAAGGAGGTTGTGGTTCAAAGGTCAGGGGTCAAGGGAGGGGAAAAAAGACCAATTTTCTACCTTACTTTCCTTTAAAAGAAAACATGAGGCTTTTCAGATTAGCTGGGATTTGCTGCTGTTTTAATATAAGAATAAAACAGGGGAATATTCACAAATAAGATTCTTTTCTGCATGGGTTGGCAAAGGGTAGGAGTGTGTGGGTTGGTGCTAATAGAAAACAGTGGAAGACTGAGTCATAATTCAATTGGAGAACCAGAAATAGATTGAATTTTGTAATGGCAGTATAAATTTGGGCTTCCATCTTTCTAAGTCTGTGCTTGAACTGAAGTCATTTGGAGAAAGAAGAGGTCTTGCATTATTTATGTGTCACAGATTGCTTGAATAGCAGGCTTTGGAACACTCTCCAAACATAATGATCCTGTTTATGTTAGATCCAAAACTGAATTATGTTTTTATCTCTAACAAGAGAGGTTATAGTAGTACACTGAGTTTAGTGTGAAGATCACAGGTGTATTCCAAAGCAAGCATAAGCTAGATCTCAAACATGGGCAACAGAAATTTTACGAATGAAACAGATATGTTTTAATATTCAGTGAATAAAGGCTGAGAGGTATAAAATATATGCTATGCAATCATCTCTGTACCATAATGACAATGACTATTTTCTGCAGCATGTGCAAAAGGCTGCAATATGTTCATAATAATGGAGTTAATTTCATTTGAGATATTCAGGGTAAAGACCACCCATAAAGTAGGTTGAAAAAAAAAAAAGCACGATGTATGTGACTGTAAAATGGGTGGATGATTTTTTTCATCTAGTTTCTGTTCAACGTATGACTTAAATATAAAAATGGTT